GGCAGAGCTGCCTTGAAAGCGTCTCCAGTCAAAGTTCAGGTTTCCCCACTGTACTCACGTCGTCGTTGTAGCCCATGTGCATCCCGCAGTCGAGCATTACATTTTTCCCCGCGATGGACACAAGGATGCAGCTGCGCCCCACATCCTGGCCAGCCCCTGGACCCAAAGAAAAGGAAGACAAGCAAGGAATCCTGAGCGATACTTGCAGTCCCTTCAAAAGAGAAGCACTAAAAAGTCTCTAACAACTTCACTCTACAGCCCTAACTCCCTCCCAGTGCAGAAGACCACATCCCCTCTTCCGAGCAAGCGGATCTGTTGCGGAAAGCAGATGTGAGATCACCTACCCATTCCGTAAGCTTGAGAGCCTCCTCCCAGGATCTCTGTAGTACTTTACCACTAAAATCTTTTTGCATCGTATGATCCTTTGCATCGTACTTGTTTGCACAATGACCCCTCTAGCCCGCACAAATGTAACACTCAAGTGTGCTACTGAGAGCAGTGTTTGAGGCAGGGAAAGGCACATATATATCTAGCAGTGTAAAATATGTTATTCCTATCTCTAAATTTCAGTTCCAACTTACTTCTTTCCAAGGAAATCACAACATGCACAATTTTGCAGCATTCCTATTTTAAGTCCATTCGAGATTTACACTTACCCAAGGGAGTGACTTTTATTTCAGGCATGTTAACAAAGCTCTCTAGATCTGAAGCAATATGATAAATTCACTTAGCGACGGCTTGACAGGGGCCATAAAGGGAAGATTTAGCCTTTATTCACCACCACCATTGCATTTCTTTTTCAGTATCAAGCAGAAAACTTCACTTGAGGCCCCACTTCTTCCTGGAAGACAGACAGATGGACAGCACAAGTCAAACGAGTGCGGGATCCCGGCCTCTCCTAGAAGCCCGCACCCGTTCGGCCCCAGCAACAACAGCCGCGTTTCCCTGTGCGCTCACATCACCTCAGGGCCAGAGGCCGCGCGCGCCTGGTGGGGTGGGTCGCAACGGCG